GCAGCGGCGCTGGGATCGTTGTGTTCACTCCCAGGGGAACTACTTCGAGGGTGATGGATGAATTTAATACCTGAGATAAGTGTACGGGTTTTTATACGCGCAGTCTGTAAACCTTTCGATCGCACCTCGTACATTCTGTGCACTCACCAGTCCCCACCACACGACAGAAAAAAGAATTACTCTAAAGTGACGACTGAAAAAGCTACAAACGGCAGAATTTGCTTTATTTCTTTCTGTCATTGCGAACATTGGAAAAAAAAACTCATGATGAAACGAACTTTCCACTTTGTAAAAACGGCAGTCACAATAATAAAAGCTACATCAACGTAAAAACGCTGTAATTTGGGAAACGGTGTCGAATCTGAAAAAAAGAAACATTTTCTGCTCCAAGAGATCTCCCTGACAACCTCCTTAAATCCTGTACTGAAGCCTTGAATCAGCCTGTAACTGTAATATTTACCGACTAAAGACTTAAAAATGGATGGTGTATGAATGGAGAAAAACTGCAACAATTAGACGGTAAATACAAGATATCGTTGATCAAGTAAATAAATTAAACCTGTTTCACAGATTATATCAACATGATGTCAAGAATTAATCAATGTTAATTGATTCGATACATTACCTTTATCAGCACTGAATGAGTAGTAAATCCAATCCGATATATAATCATCACAAAGAACGCAACTGGAAATACGAGTACGCCATATTCAGCACATTTTTGCATCGTTGACGACGACAGTTTTTAGTAGCGTTATGAATCTAAACCTTTCTTCATATTCAGTAACTTACATTAAGGCACATTTACATCTGAACTACATAATTACGTGGCTCAGAACAGTTAGAACGTCACGGTAAAGAATTTACAAGACCACAATAGCAGAGCAGGGATACCATGTCATTTGTGCAAACATCCACCTCAGAGATAATCCTCAAAGCATGATTTCTACCTCACGACTTGCAAACGACCTGTCTCTCCTCTGTACTTACAGAACTACATGACAACCACGTCTACTGCTGTGGCCTAGCAGCTTTACCCCAAGAACCACATCGCCATTACAGTTCCTACTCAGATCATAGCTCGTTTAGCAAAATAACTTCTTCATTCATATTTGGGGATACTTGGCCAGTACAAACGAGTGGTTTGAATAAGTAATTTAAAACAACTGATTTAATTTTATGATAGTGTTATTTTAATGAATTCTCACCAGGAACTAACGTTCGTGAAATTCTACTTCATAAAACAATCCGGTACACTTGTACACTCTCAACGAAGCTACGTCTAGTAACGGACAGTCACAAAACATTCCAAGCCGCCGTCGAATGTGCAGTGTCTTTCTATGTAGACGAGACATAAATTTATTTGAAAATAAAGTTCTTCTGTGCATTCTTTGATGCAGACACTTTGGATTTTTAAATAATATTGGTCTCTACAGGCTTCTCACTGAATGTGGTTTCGTAAAGCGACCGTGCCAGTTGCTAGGAACTAATAATTCAATAGCTGTTTCACACCGAAATTACAAAGCCTCAAGCCATATTAAATATGGTATTTGGGGCCTCGTGGCAATGGTTGATTCGCTATACACGAGGTTCCAGACGTGTGTTCCTCAGAACACCATCGGCTCGTAAGCTTCATTCAGGGGTTCTGTGGCACAACTGAGTTTACAGAAAACTATTAAACAAAATTAATAAAAACACATGAAGTGTTACAGAAGTGCCAAGATACTTGTGCAATAAATTAAGTGCTTTACCTTCCACAGCGACCGAAGCGAACTGGCAGTCTGCCCCCAGGCTGTTTTCCACGCTCACCACGTACTTCCCGCTGTCGTCCGCAGTGATGTTCTCTATGGCAAGGCAGGACACTCCGTCTTCCGTCGTGATCGTCACCCGACCGCCAGAACTCAGCTCGTGGCCCTGCGAAAAGAGCCACTCCTCCAGAAATTCCCCGAAAGAAATAACAAGGCCCATATAAACACATTTCATATATAAATAGTCTTGACAGTTAAACTGGGTCCGAATTTCGTTGAAGATTACGTGTGGAATAAAAAAGTTGAATGGTGTACTCTAATGAAGTACACGCGTTTCAAATACTCTGATAGGCCTACTAAAATCTAAAGCAATAGAATTTAAAAACAGGTTCCAAACAGAAGCAGAATTATAATAGATAATAAATAGTTTCCTACTGGAACAAGTAAAATTTCGTATGAAATAGCCATAACTTACCAATTTTGGTAATTCCAGACAATGTTAAGAAACCCGCTTCGGTTCAAAGATAATCTCCTTTGAAATCCTATATTTTAGCCGTCTCATCACTTTTACATAGCATCTAGACATTTAAAAGAAAATATTTTATGTCACCAGCGATGAAAGTCATGAGACGCATATATATATATTTTGCAAAAACTCGACAAGGACCCAATCGAAAATAAATTAGCACAACACAAACAAAACTGGCCAGATCATGTTAGAAGGGCAAAAACAAATCAGACACCCAAACCAGCCTCTTGACTAGAGACCAGTCGAAACAAGAAAAGTCTGAACGACTACTAGACTTATAACATCCGAAGGGCGAAACAGCTCATTTATAGACTCAACGTCGTGACCAGAAGAGTAATAATTTGTTGTTTACTATTTTCATACTTCAGTGGCCAAAATATTAATTTATTGCGTAGAAAATGCGACTAAGTATCACACTGTGCACTCTGAAATTAGTTTCCTTGTGCTTCTTTTAGTAAACTTAGAAATTGGGAAGAAAAAGGTAATACGCTCTGAACTGCGCATTTAGAGGGTGGCACTTGTCGTCATTCGATGACGAGCAGAAATCCTGGAATCCTATCATTGCTGTACTGCGTCACTCCTCCTACATGCAGTTTTACGACTGCTCTTATAGCCGCGCTGTGTGCGGTTTATCCAAGGGCAGAGAAACGTACAAGTGCCCACTGTGAGGAGACACACAGGCAATCTCAGAGGCAGAATTCCATCTGTCCCCAAATTTCATCGCGGGGAAATCTCCCCTAAACGTTGTCCGTCCGGCCAGGTTTTCTAGTTCGTATCTGCACAACATCCATGAACTGACCTCAACGAAGCACATTCCTTACAGACAAGCTGATAGTTGTTAGGCACTCGAGAATTACCCGCCCTTTTCTGTGGTCGCAAAAGACCTCCGTCGGTCCCAGTCCTGAGCTAGATAAATCCTGTTCACACCTTCCCATTCTATTTTCTACGATATATTTTAATATTTTCTCTCATCTATGCCCAGGTCATGGTTTTCCCTAGTCCCTTCAGGAAAATTATCGGACAATATTTTAAAGTAAGCTACGATCGCACACTGCCATTTACTATTCAAACATTATTCATTAACCGCTGTATCAGTCGATACTATTATAGTCTGACTCACAGTGTCGTTAAATAAACCACAATAAACAAAGACTGAGGATCTTAGAAAACAATGTGCTGATCAGAATAAGACCAAGACAGAAAATAAGTTACGGTAGGATGGAGAAAATTACGGAATGAAGAACTCATAATTTGTAGGACAACAAATCGAGAGGTGGGCAAGAACTGAGGCACAAATGGAGTGAGAAATTCACACAAAACTTTAGTACGATAAACTAAAATGAAAACGTTTCTAGGGAATCTTCACGTTGATGGAGGATAATATTCAAATTAAACTTAAAAGTGGAGAGTGAGTATGTGGACTGGATTCGACGAGATCAAATTTAACATGGAAATGGACATTCGGGTTCCGTAAAACAAGGGAAATTTCTTGATCAGCTGGCCAACCATGATTTTTAAAGAACGTTATTCCATTATATACTTGGCTCACCAAGGACTGTTTTCGGCAGTCACATGAAGGAACGTACAATTAACTCGAAGTGGGTCCGAGTGTTGGGACAAGAAATACGTGTAGAAGTTTCATGTGTAAATCTCTTGGCAGTAACTCAGGCCAGCTCTTGGAAATACGGAGATGAGGATGGATTAAATTAGGTTGTGAGGGTGTGAGTGGATGAAACATGCACAGGGCTCAGAATTGTGTCATGTGTCGAACTTTGGTATTCGCAGTGTTGCCTAGTGTGACCTAGTGGCCTACTAAAGTAAGGCGAGAACTAATTAAGGATCTGAGTTTATAATTTGAAATTATCTATTACAAAGTTAGTTTCTACGTATAGCATACGCCACTGGTGAGGTGCTGTGAAACTAATGAGTACGTGCTTAATTACAGTAATAACATTTTGAGAATACAGAAATCGCAAAAAGATATATACATTCAGTGAATGAAATAAAGACATTTAAATAAACCCAACCATTACATACGTGAGGACTGGCACTTAGTCAATTATCGAATTTAGTGCAGGTGCTCAAATGACCACCGTCAGCTTTGACAGAAGATACCAAAGATGCTGCTGTGTATACATTTTGAGACACCCTGTGTTTTAGAAGAAGCTCTATCATCAACAGCTTCAATGAATGTCAAGATCTACTTCAGCCGGCGGAGGTGTTGACCTCCATTCGTTGCAATTACTGGGAAACACGAGTTCAAGATTGACTTAAAAGGAGAAAAGAGAACTTTTCACGCAGTCTTGACAGCTGTCGTGCACAGAGGATTTCTTCAACAGTATTCGCTTTAAATTTCGCCAACTTTGGGTCTGTGTTGAGCTGCAGAACACATACTTTGCACCCTGCACACACCCTGTACGAAACGAGATTTGTCCACAACTAACTCCATACAGTCCTTGAGAACTACACAGTCGCTCAGACACACAAGAAATTCCCCTCCTTTTATGAAACCCAAAGATGTAGCTCCATATTCCTAAAAGCCCGCCACCTGACCCTATCGCGAGCCAGATGAATCCCTCCCACCCTATTTCCTCAATACCCATTCCGATAATATCCTCCCATCTAGGCCTACGTTCAGAAGGAAATGAGTGAGTCAGAAACAGTGATTTATTTTCTTCCTTTTCTGGACTACAGTTCGTATTCTTATAATATTAAAAATGCAACATTTTTCATAAACCATTTTTCGTGCTTTCCTCTGACGTTCATTACATACAACAAAATTAATAAAGTCTCATATTTCTTTGTGATAGGTTCAATGACATGCTCGTGGTGTTATGAACCGCCCATATGAGCATTTCATTGTTTCTCCTTGGACAGAGTAAATGATTTCGCATGAAACCCAGTCAGTGCCCAACACGAGACGATGTTTTCAAGTTGCAACCAGATCTGGTACGAACATTTCTGGTCTGGTTCCCAGTTCGAATCCGGTTTTATTCTGTGTGTACATGCAAACAGAACCAAACACAAAGCGGCTTACACAACTTTGTGTAACACGCAAACTGTCTCTGTAGGCAAAGGCAAAATACGACAAGCAACATGGCGGTCGCCCACTGACTGCTGGGCTGGAAGCGATATGGAAGGAAGTGGTCGTGGAATAATTTCACGTGCGACGTTAGGCAGTTTCACTATCCTGATGGCAACGACTAACTTCTGTAACGCACGAAGTGTGTCGAATGAGCCTGGAGGAATTGGTCAGTTCTAAAATGCTTTCCGAATAATCGCCTGGAAAAACTAAAGGAATAAACCGAAACTCTCTGTCAGGATGGGCGGAAACCTGGCAAATATTCCGAATACAAGTCGAGAGCTTTATCTGTTCCTCAGTGCAAACAGGTACTTACCGCTTTCAGCCAGCGAACGAGAGGGTGGGGCACTCCGGCATACGTCGCCTTCAAAGCGACCCTGTCCCCACGGAGTGCTGTGGTGTCGCAAGGCCCCCGGATCAACACGGCCGCCTGCCCAACCTCGTCGTATCTGTCGTCCCCATCGCTCACCGCCAGTTCCGTCCTCGCCACACACTCCTCACCGCCTGACATCCCGCTACGCGCCACGCATGTCACTTGTCCGCTGTCACACAGTTCCACTGGGCAAATGTGGAGTATATGTACGTCTCCGTCTGACTCCACCTGCAAACACAACAAACCGTAGCCCAATGAGTGGTTTCTTGGTTCCAAGAACCCTCTCCATGCTACAGACGAACTATTTCCTCCAAAACACCGTCTTAGCATTATAGACTACCATGAAGAGGCTGCAGTGTGACAAATTGTACATTTCTGCCTCAACACTGCTAAAAGATTAAGTTTCAACTGTTCCTGTAAAGTGGGAATACGTAATAAATTTTTATTCAAATAACTCACCATCGTCACGAACTTTTAGATTTGATATACGTAAGAAATTTCTTTAACGAGAAAACTGCGTTCAACAAATTGCTGGGCATTGGTTGAATAATGAAATAATTTCTTCCGCACAAAATTTTTGTGTATCTGTAAACCTGTATGCAATCTAAACCATCTGATTTTAATGGTAGTTAAGCTAGTTTTGTAGTTCCATTTTTTGTTCACGATGATATAAGAACCTCTTGAATTATCGTGCAAGGCAGTCTACACATACAGCTTTATTAGCGGCCACGTACTCCACACACCATAATGTTTACATGTAATTTATTCCAAATGCATGCTCCATTCACATGAATTCCCTTACTCCTAAAACCGACATAAAAGCAACCCTGCGGGCCCGACAACCGGTTTCCTGCGGTACCCTATAAAAGTTTAACTCCATAGAAATTTTCCAAATATGGACCAATGAGCGTTCAATCGTTTCCATTCAATCCGTCACACACACAATGTGACACACTTGTGATCAGGAAGTCCTGAAATCTGGTAAGGAACCAGAAGGTCCAGTACCGTGTTTGCAAGAATCTGTCAGTGTGCCTTATCCTGAGCCACTTTAATCCAGTACACACCTTTACAGCCGATATCTTTAGGAGCCCTTTTAATATATCATCTCTTCTATGCATAGTCTCCCAAGCGCCCAATTCCATTCCGATTTTCTAGCTAAAAGTTGACATAAATTTCTCATCTCTTCCATGAATGTTACGCTATATACTGTAGGCTACTGTCAGCATCGCTCAATAAATTACAAATAAACAAAATTTCATACATTTAGCTCCAGCACAGCAATTGTCACTCGTCAGATTACAGAACTTACGTACGGAATCCCTCACGGCCTGCCTTCTATTAAATTGCGTAGTGTTGTGAGCGCCTCCGAGCAAGATCTGCTCAGTGACGCTCGTAAGTTTTTGCCCTGGAGGTTACGTCACCAGATCGACATCTGTTTGCGCCATGTGTTGCCACACGTCTGTGCTCAAGATCAGAACAATAAAATGAAGATAAAACAGTTCCTGACATGCAATTTTTATCGTACACTGAAAGTAATAAAGTATGTATATTGAATACGACTCAGTTTTCATTTCGGACGGAACGGAGTTTCGGTGACTTACTCCCGAGGCCTACACAGACTTTATTAGGCGCACCCTGGAGCACTGTTAAGAAACGCCGAAACTGGGAACATCCGCAGAAATATTAACCCTTTGGAGCACGGAATTCATCTAAATAACATTAAGAATTTGGTTCCTACACCACAGAAAACACACCGCATCTCCATTAAAAATAACAGGTGGTTAATATTGTTTGGTAAACTAATCGCTGTTTATTCTTAGGATCAGACGAACACCAAAACAATAAAGCACGTGGTTTCCAGATATTGTCTTGTTTCCCTTTCTCGCTAATCTCTTTTCGCGCATTTAGCATGCATTGCACTGCAAAACAGTCGTAATAAAATGGAACAAACGGGACTTGCAAGGGAAGCCACTATTATAAAACCGGTTGAACAGGCAGCATCTAAGAAACGCCCTTGTTTCATATCTGGACTGTCATTATAAGAATTTCTTTCAATCGTCTGAGTCTCAATATCGGTCTCGCAGATTCAGAGTAAATGAGTAGTTAAAAGTAACATTGATAATAAAGTTGGCGAGACAGGTGAATGTCACTGTAATTCTCTGTAGCCTTCACAGACAAAAACAACGGGAAATAATATTTTTAAGTCGTATAAACACTTTCATATGCGGTACGCTTAAGTATGTGTAATCCATCATCTTAATTACGGTGACAGGTGTAAGAGATGACTTAACAATATGAAAATGGCTGTCTTCTGGGACGTTGAGCCGTGTAGTCGGCTAGATTCGCCCCGATGATACATTAAAAGAAAAAAATATATAAACCTCCAAGCAAGAATAAGTAAAAGGTATACAAAAAGAAAGCTCCTCTGAAACGTCGGTTAATATTTACCAGAAAACACTGTGAAACATTATAGACTGCCCCACTTTCATCCTCGGAGCCGTGAGAACCTGAAATGTAATCAACCGAAGAATTCCCATGCTGAGATAATTCAATCCAGCTCCACACCGCAATTCTTTAACAGCAAAATTCATTTTAATACTGCCCAAAGGGAAAAGGCTAACTCCGAGACACTGTGATTTACACAGGACACCAGCCCCCAAAGCTGCCGGTGCATTGCGCATTGCCAGCGGTCCGCCACCTCTCGATCAAAGTACTCTCATGTCAGTTGCCGCCTCCCTGGGAGGTGACGTCTTACGTGCTATATTTTACTGGAAACGTAAAACTACGCCACATAGGAAATTAAACAATTAAGATGTCAATATGTACTACACGAAGTTTAATTTGATAAATCTGTTGTATAAACAGCATCATCTGACAGCACTGCCCCAAAGAGAACTCGAAATAGCTTAAGTAAGTTGCTGAGTTTGTCAAGAACGTTCCAGCCGAGAACAGTTTTAGATTTCCAGTTAGAAACATGCATTTATTAGACTGCATGAGAGGAGACTTCATGACATTGTTTCAAAGTTCTTAGTGAGCTCTGTAAATAAACTGGATCCTTCAAGACTGTTAGCACACATTAAGTTTCTTCCACGTGCCTTGTGACTGTCCTTACTAGTGGAATACGAAGCGTCTGGAGTCACAAATATAGTTAAGGAGTTGCATGGACAACCAATCGAAGTGGAAACAACATATTTATGAACGTCACAAACATAATTCTGGGCCTCTAAAGGCGGTTTCAGATGCAAATCACTGACTGTGAAGAAAGAGTGAGAGAGAGAGAGAGAGAGTTTTACAAAGGGGCAGAATCTTCACAATTGCGGTATCATCTATCATTCACGGAGCACGGACGTGACTTGCATTCGAAGATAACCGTTTGGAATCCCAGCAAGGAACCCGATATTCTGACAGATTTTCGTGGGTTTTCGTAGGCCCTCCAGACGAAAGCCGAGATGGTATCTTGAAACAGTAAGAAACGAATGAACACAGAGTACCTCCTCCGAATGATTTCATCTTACGTAGTTTATACAAGAAACGTGTCTCCAGATCTCACGTTTTTAAACCTCTGAACACTAGTGACAATCTCCAGATTGTCATTTCGGGTTAAACTGAT